ATTTATTAAAGTGGAAAGCAAAGTATAGATTTAAAGAATTCGTTCCTCATAATTGATACACCTATTTATATTTCGAATAATACTAGTGTAGAGAAGATTGATGTTGTTCTGGAGTATAAACACTTTATAGAGATAGAAATGCTTTTACCCGAATACAATATACCCTTTTTGTAAAAGTTGAAGAGTATGATGGCCACTTGTGTCCTCTTTGTTTTCTTCTCTATAACTGCTTTTTCTTTTTTGAATAAGAAAGAATAAGAAAAGATAGAAAAGCATGCCTGATAACAAAGTGTCATCTGCATCCACCTAGCATCGTCCTTCCATCTGCGATCATTGGTTCGATGCAATTGTCCCAAACAAATCTCAAGTACTTTGGCAACTGCCAATAAACAATTCATGGGGGAAATCACAAAAAATAAACCAAAGTGAAAGGATGCAACATCGCAATGGGAATATTTTTCCATTTGATATGGAAATATTTATCCTATTAATAAGCTTTCAAAATAAATTGTTTAATTAAGCAAAACAAGCAATATAAATTTCCCATTTCCTTTTGTGCTGGTAATATTTAATTTAAAGAAATTTCGTTTTAACAGTCGTGTCACGTTTGTATCTGTCACGTGTGTCTGTTCACGCCTAAAGCTGCCGCTGCTGATTCCCCCTACCACCTGCCATGCTTTTTGCCAGGCGTAATTGGGCGGTGGGTGTATGCGTTTCAACTCTATAATTTAGCGGAAAAACAGCTAATGGACGTCATGTCTAACCAAAAAGAAAGAAAAGAAAAAAAATGCCTGCGCAACCAGAGGAAGGAATCAGGTTGAGGATATGGCCACAAAAGTTGGGGTCCACAGAGCGGAAATGCATACAATTGACAATTCTCATCGCCCTCGCGCTGCGTGTATATGTGTATTTGTATCTGTATCTGTATGTCCTGTTTGTGTTTTGTGGCCTCTGTCCACTTCAAGGCTTTTATGGACATGTCAGCGTGCTTAGCGAGCAGCAGTCCCACCAACTTCTCCCATCGCGTGTGCCTCTAAAAATCGGAAAGAGGCTTCTGGGGTTGGGGCAATAATGGGGAGTTCAGCTGGTCCCTGCGCTAATAACTAATGTGCTTATGGCGTGTGCCATGTAGTGGTTGCTGCTGCTCTGCTCCTCTATCCTGGTTGTATTCTATTCTGTTCTATTCTAGTCCATTCTATACTGTCGTTCTGTTGTGCTCTCTCGACCAACTTCCACAGTCTGATTACTATAGTTCGACTTGTCTTTGGGCGGTACACGGAGAGAAATGGTTGTCAATAATATTAAAATGTTTAATTTCATATGATATGGTATAACATTAACTAATAGACTGATTTTATTTGTCTTTTTGATATATGATTTTATCTTCAGATATCTCTGATTTCATTAACATTTAACATTTGCAAACCTGTTAGTATCGATCTCTATTGATAAATGTCATTTAGATGGTTTATAAAATCAAATCAAAGGATTTCAACCATTTCTCCCAGTGTTCACTACCACCTCTCTATCAGGCAACCCCTAAAGTTGTTGCATTATTAAAAGGCTTCGATTGAAAAGTACTTTTTCCTAGTTCCCTTACCATTTCCAAGCCCAACTTCATTCTTCATCCTTCACTTTACTGCTTCGGCCTTATCTATTGCTGGGTTTGTCAACTGCATCTCTCGACAATCCATCGTTAGCTAATTAATTGGAAATATAAGAATTGCTTCGCAGCAATACAAATGCCCGTCATGGTTTGAAAATCAATAAAACTAGCTGCGAATACGAAACGTGTTTGAAGTGCCGTTTGCGATTTGCATAAAAATATTGGCGCTTCTTCTTTACAGCATTTTTCGTCTGTCATTCGAGACAAAAGCCATCGAAAATCATTGAGTGGAACATGTTTTGCGAATGCCTTTGGGTTGAGAGAAGAGAGATTACCATCGGATGGGGCTTGTGAGGTCAGAAAATAAATAAACATTTCACTGGACGACAACCAGCATAGTTAACCCATATAAATAAGTTCTCTAAATCCACCTAAATGCGGGCCAAGTTAACCGAGATTGTTACTGGTTGGGTATTTGTATCAGAAACAGAACATAGATTCATGTGGGAAATCAACAACATCAAAGCGACCTACATCCGCCAGCCAATTGCTGTACAATTGCAGCTTTACAATGCTATTTTTTATTTATTATTTATTTCATTTGCCCATGTAAGGATGAACGCAAAAAAGCTAATAAAAACAAAACAACAACACACAGAGGATAGGAAGTACAAAATAAATGCATCGAAATATAGGCCGAATCATATGAGAAACAGCAATAGAAATTGAATATTCGATTTTTTCGCTTTTTGGCATCTTGATCTGAGTGAACCGAAAAGCAAACATAGCGATACTTGTCATGTTTTGTTTTTAACGATGACAAAATGCAAAGCTCGCTAAATAAAATGGAAAATAGAGTAATGATTATTATCATCTTCTCTAATATAAAACTATTTTTAAATGGTGAAGCTATACAAAATTGCATTCATTACATTCTAAAACAGTTTTATGCTTTATTTGCAAATACCTTGTGACAAATAAACTGTTCTCAGAATGCGTTTTTGATAATACGCAATAATATATAATTGCTTTCAATGTAGATAACAGGGCAATGCCTACATTAGACTTGCTTAAAAGAATTTTAAGTACCATATAAAATGGCAAACTACGCAGATGGCATGGCGAATGTTTAACAATTAAGACAAACGTTAGCATTATGAGTTCAAAAGTCCAAACTAAATTCTGTATATTTTATAATTCCACAGATTCAACAGCCAAAGAAATCGAATACAGGAGACCCTTTAACACTGCATGTCACTATAAATCAGATAAATAAACAAAGCCTAAAATTAAGGTGTGTCTCATACATTTTTACCAACAGAAAGACAGATGATATCGGTGTCATAGAAATTTTGACAAATGATTTTAAAAACAAATAACATAAGATTATGAAACCCCAAAAAATACTTTATAAAATATTTTTATATACTTTGCAATGGCATTTAATTGATTACTTTTTGGTCAACTAAGTTGTTCTGTACAGCATTTACGTGAGAATTCAGTTCAATGTCAATGAACGCGCGCAAATAGCCGCGAAATATCTTTGGTATTGCTTCACTCGAAATAAATGCTAGAAACACGAAAATAACTCAGCCAAACAAGGCAGATAAAAGCGAATTTTTAGCACGAAACTGGAAATCCAAACAAAGACAAAGGAGAATCGTCGCAATCGCCAGCAGAAGAACGAAAAGCAAAAGTTTAGTATTAACAAATGCAGAAGAATTGCTGGGAAGATTTCAAGAACAAAAACAAAAAAGAGAGCTTCTTACTCGAAAGCTCCAAATGCCAAATGGATAAATGTTAAAGGGAGAGGGAGATGGAAAATAGGGAATATGGGCGGTAAGGAAAGTTACAAAGAGAGCGAGAGGTAAGTAAGTGGTAATGAGCTGCACCCAGCGAAAAAACAACAACAACTACTACTACAATTGACTCCTATTGAACGTCTTTTTGTTATTTGGCTCTCTCATTAGCTCTCTTTTGCCAATTTGTCTTCTTCGTTTTTTCTACCTCATCGATTGATGCTAAAAACAACAACAACAACGGGGGCCTAACTATGAATAAAATATAGGTTAGGCCTTTTCCTTATTTGTAAAATAAAACTGTTGTCGAGCATTGAACTCTCGCCGTAGCGTGGGAGTTTTGTTTTTGGAGTAACGAAACTATTTTGTTTTGATTTTATCTCTGGAAATTATAATGAAATTATATGCGCCGGCAACCGCGTGGAGTTAAAAAAGAAAAGAAAAGAGAAAAGCAGAAAATGAGAAAAACAAAACAAACGACCAAAGCGGATGAGCCAATGATAAAAACAACAACAACTTTGAGACTCTGTACTTTAAGTAAAAGCCGGCACCCGTGCGAGCGAGAAGGTGATAGAAAAAGACTGGGCGGGAGAGCGAGAGAGAGCTAGGAATATTTCTGTGCCCTGGTGGTTGTAAAGAAAAAAAAACGAAAAAAGAACTGTAAAAGTGAAGCGCCGAAGCCAAAAGAACGATTTGTGGGGTGAAGTGGGGCGGTTGGATCACACAAAAATGCGACGAAAATCGGCATGTATTGGCGAAACTTTTTCGCAGAAAATGTATTCGGAAAAACACAACACGGCCAACACACACACTAACTGTTTTTAGCCTGGTTTATTTGCCTTGCAAAATTCGCTTTTCTTTCGCGTCCCCCAGGCAAAAAAAAAAAATAGAAGAAAAACTCACCTATCGGGATGCCTTTGTTTTCTTCAGCTGCTTATATGCTGCTGCCACCAAAACTCAATCACTTAATCGACCAATTGTTATTCAACACGATTTTGTTCGCCACTTTACGCTGGCTGGTAAAATATTATTTAAAATATGTATAGCACAAACACACGAGAAGTAAAATGCACAGAAAGTTAGAGAGGAATAGCAAAATGGCGTTTCGGTCCGACATGTATCGATAGCTTACTATCGATAGACTTGACTGAAAACACGAGTTTCACACTGGCTTTACAGAATACTATTGTCATCTCGAATTTAAATACTAACAAAGAATATTTTACGCGCTTAGTTTGATCGACTTTAGTTCAACTTATTTCCTAATTTGAAACAGCTTTCTAGTTTCAAAATTTGGGTCTTAAAAAATCTGAATGGACATATATACTTTTTACATGATCAAACACCGTACTTAAAAATGCACCTACAATTTCTCAATGATAATAATAATATTTTCATACATATATAATAAAATATTTATTAATTTTCAGTTTTAGAGCGACATTATTTAATAAATTTGTTATAAATATTAATATTAATATAAATGTTATATATATGAAAAAAAAATGTTTCTAATGGGATTAAGCGTTAAATTTAAAAACTGGGCTGCCATAATAAATACCAGTTTTTGCTGATTTGGTATTTTAAGCAAATGGCAACTGACCACACTATGCAGCTAATGTTTTTGTTCTTAATTTGAAATTTATTATTAAAAGATGTTAACTGAAACCACTGAAGCTGCTTATAAACGTCACAAGGGTATTGGACCCCAGGTGAGGCAAGCCTACGATAAAGCCATTGGACAAATCTTCGCCGAGTTGAGGTAAGCAAGAGATTTACCAAAAGAGTTATCAAATTTTAAGTATTGCTTCTAATCAGCTCCTCAGATCTCGAAGAATTCAAAGTCCTTTACGAGAAGCATGAGAACTCTGATTTGGACACTGAGACTATCATAAATAGCACTCGGAGTCTGATGACAAAGGTTGTTCTCGAAATGAACCAATGTTTCTTTGAAGGCAATGATGTGGAGAACAAGCTAGCTACTCTCGAGATGCTAAAGGAACTATTTGCTCGCTATGAGGGAAAAGATTGGTTTGTCTTTGTCATAGTGTCTAGGAAACAATTTGTTTAAAGTCTTTTAAACACCCGCAGGAATGTGAATGCTGCCGCCCCTGAAGAACTTACTCGTCCGTTGCGCATGCGCAGTCTAGATTTCAGCATACACTTTATGGAGCGACAACTGGAGGCTCAGGAAAAAGAGCTTGAGGTGGGACTACTTAAAAAAAATAATTTTAAAATACAAATGTTGTTTTTACTTTTTATTTTCAGATCGCAATGGCCAAAAGCAATGCGAATCGTGAACGCCTCAAAAATGTGCAAGACGAGCGAGTGAAGTTACATGTCAAGATAGAGGAACAATTATCTCTATACCGGGAAATTAACCAAGAAATTAACAAAGAAAAGTTGTAAAACATGTAAATAAATATAAATAAGATATATAAATATTTTAGTATTACAATTAATATTAGTCTCTAGTTTTCCATATTTTCGTACTGCTTATTTTATGTTGGATAAGGTAATAAAACGAAGGAGTTTCGCATACACTATACTTACATACATATGTACATGTATGTATATATGTATGTTCATATGGGAATCGGTTCATTTTTCACTTTGTTTCATTGCCCATTGCCCATGTATTTGTAATTTTAAATACCAATCAGTTGTTTAGTATTGCGTACTATTACACACACATGCATTTGACATTTTTGCAGTGGAATTGAGTGAAACCGATTAGCCATATTTTCCTGGTATTGGTGGCCATGAGTAATAACCTCAAAAGTTGGCTAATTTTCCATATCGGCTTCTTAAATTGATTATAATTAATTGAAGTTCAAATGAATTAAATCTATTTTCAAAAGGTCCCTTAAAAAGGGAGATTGATGAATAATTGTTAGTTTGCGTGCTTTCATTATATGGATCTACTGGAATATTTGGAATTGATTGAATTAAGCCATTCTTTTCAGAATAAATTAGGCAATGAGCACTGCTAGAGCCTTGAATCTAATTTCGTTGGAATTGACTAATACCTAGCAAGGTTTCGAACAAGAACCTAATAAAATATTTTTGGTGTTTCCCAAAAGTGAGGTTATGTTTCGAGTGCTTTTAAAAAATGGAGCAGTGTTCCACACATGTATACATGTTCCACCTTACATTAGTAAAAGTGACCTAGGTGCATAAGTATATGTAGGCGTGGCCCATTTTCGCAGAATTCCAAAGGTCAAGAGGAAGTTCGCTGAAATTATTCAATTCTTTTCGGTTTCGATCGTCGACGAAGAAGGAACTTATTGCTCCTGGTAATTGTGTTATATTAAGTAATTCCAAAATGTTGGTAAGAATATTTCAAATACCTTAGGGCCAAGAACAGGTCCTATTTTTTAAGCACTGCCTACTCAAACTATTCCGGAGTCTCGCTTAATGTATTAATGTATTAAAGCCGGCGTTCGGAAAATCTTGACTCTGCACTCGTAGTTTAAAGCAAGTGATTTTATTATCTGGAAGTTTTTTTATTTAAATATTTAAGGAGGTAACGCAATTTTTGGTTTGTTTTAATAAATTGTGTTTCCTGTTTAAAATAAAGAGTATAAAATTTTCATCTTGAGTAAAGCGTTAAAAAAAGTCGGTCCTAACCTAAATAAAAAATTCGTTGAATTAATTTCTTTAAAGCTTTTTGGCAATTACATATAAAGGTAAAATAAAGTGCCTTTCTTAAAAATCAAGTGCTTAATATTGAAAGTATGATTATTAAAATAATATTTATTTACATTTAAAGCACTTTCGAATTTTTAAGATAACTCAATGGGTGTACATTTTTAAATAATTATTGTTCGAGCGTTGAGTTATTTTAAGAATTAATGTGTAAGTCGCAATAAGTGAAAATGTGTTACAAATTGTGAATTCGTCAGATATTTTTTGTTTCGTCGTATAACGCCATTTTGAAATTCTCTCCTATTCTCCACAAAAAGTTCTCCACACTTTCAAAGTTCAACTGCAGCTGCACTGCTTTATTCCCTGTAGCCATCCCGCTCTAAACTTTTGCATTCCGTTTTGTGACATTTGTTTTCCTATCTTCCAATTTTCGGGTGTCGGGATATATTCTTTGGCATTCCGATTTTGAAAGTGGTCCCGGCTGGTTGGTAGAAATCGGATAAGTTGTGGTCAACAATTTTTGGCTGTGGTTTGGGTAAATGCTGTACAATATTAACAAGTATTGCACATTCCCCAGCCTGACATTTTTGACACAGACGGCTTAAGTGAAATTTAAAATAAAATTTCTAGTATTTCGGTTCGCCTTTTGTGCAATTTTAGAGTCAATAGAAAATTGCACTTCAGACGGCCGGATGACTTGAAATACAAAACATCTTAAAATCTAGAAAACTAAGTGTTAATTTTTTGTTAATAGTTGTAGTTTTCGGCTTATAAAGTTCCAGCAGAATAAATAAATAGTTGGGAGAGAACAGAGTTGAAATTCCTAAATATTTTTAGGCCTGTGTCTGTTCAATATAATTATTTAAAAATATATTGCACACTCACCGGCCTGAAAAGATTAGGGATATTCTTTAAAAAGTGAGTGCACGTACACAAACATTTGCAGGTGGGGTTGTGGGCAAATATATTTATTTTTCAAGTTATATTGCACACTTCCCGGCCTTTAAATGTCCAGTGTTTCGACCCTAAACATCTGTGAAATCATAAAATTATATAATTTCATATTCGCTTTCTTGGGAAATACGCGCATTCCGTTATGTGCGAAAGAGATGACAGCTGACACAGTTCTTTTATTCCCTTTTGGGCTTCTTTAGAGTTGCCAGATCGGCGACTTAAGTGTAAAGAGGAATACTTTTTTTTTAAATATTTGTGCAAGTGGTAAATGTTTAATAATTGCAATTTGTGTTTAATTTATTATAGCCCTAGGCTATAACTTAATATTCCGCTCTAAATGATGCAACTATGTAGGTAATAGGGGCCTTGAGTGGAAATAAGCAAATTTAATTAGTGCGCTTGGTTGGTTGCATTTATTTTGCACGTCATTTACCGTTTTTAAGAGCCGGTGGGCAGTATGTATATATATTACGTACATATATTTTCTTTTTTTTCATGGCTGTTTAATGATGGGATGGCCATTGGTTTGGAAAACTAACAAGAGGGAACATAATGAATAATGCCCAAGCACGCGCGAAACCAAGAGGTGTGAAATTGGGCTTACGGGCGGTACTGAAGTATTCGGTTTTTTAGGAACTGGGTTCTCTTTAATGCACCAGATGACCATTAGAAGAACGGCTTGGTTTTTGGCGGAAGTTTCAAGTACCGTAAGTATATATGCCGATTATCTATAACATCTGTTGCATTTAGTCGATTTTTAACTTATATTTACTTCCCAGTCTGAGATAGATGAGAACCTGCTTGCAGTTCGTGCTGACAGCGAGGGCAATTACATAAATGTTTGTTTTGACAACAATAGCGGCTGAGCTGCAAACAAAAACCATAACAACAATAACGCCAGAGACGAGATTGCATAATTGCTTGTAAGATTTTGCTCCCACAATTTCTCATTTTTAAGTCATGAGACAAAAAAAAACTTACCGGCTGATTGTTATCTCCACAGGTGAGAGAGATGAAGAGAGATGGAGAGTGATCCTTTTACCGCAAGTTGCAGCCTCTCTCATTTCTCATTTTCGAGCTTTTTCCCTTACGAAAGCTGCGCTCTCAGAGATGCTCAATGAGAGTCAGAGCGAGTCACAGTGGGCACTTTGTTTATATTTGCGCTGCCAGGCCTATCTAAATGTATTCAAATATAACAATAAATTGTAATATAGCACTTTCGTAATTGTCGGCTTTTATTTATGCACTGTGAACAGCCAGCGGCTAGCTAGCGCCTTTGCCTATTCCTCTGACCACGCTCTAATGCGCCATGAGAGGTGGTTTCTTAGCTAGTTTATAGCTTGAACCCGACTAAGGGCTGACTAAATTTAAAATAAGAAAAGAAAGGGGTAGGAGGAATGTTTTATTATTTTAGCTTGGTGCATTACAGGTTAATTGTTATATTTGTGAATGCATTTGCGATTGAGAATGCATATATGATTGAGAAGCAGGTTTCTTAGATAAGGGAAATTTGTGTTATAATTAAATGTTAATTAATTAAGGTAAAAATAAACTAAATATTTTACTGTTTTGCTTGAGAAGACGTTAACATTGTTATTGTGGTTCCCCTACAACTTAATGACTTATAAGTACAGATTTGACTCGCCTTCAAAACCGAGTCAGCACCTCTGTCTGGCAGCGGCTCTCCCGATTCGCCATTCGCGAGCTAATGGAGTTCCGGCCGAGCTGAGCCTGCCTCAGTTGCCTGGCGACTAGCGAACTGCGTGGACGTGTGGTGTGCTCTCCGGTGTCGTTCATTCGAGGTTCGAGTTTACCCATACTGCAACCGTCCGTCAAGTAAGACCCCGCCGCTCCGACTTTTGTGGGATTTTGTGTGATATGTGAGTGGTTCGCGGCTCGTTTCGTTTCGTTTTTTATTTGCCGTTGTCATTTGGTTTTTGATTTGTTGAGCGGTCGCCGCAAGCCACTTGACTGACGAGCATTCTCTTCTGGCTTTGTTTCATAATAACTCGCTGTGTGTGTTTGCAGTATATATACATATAAATATATATATATATATATAAATTGTGTCTGTGAAAACGACAAAAAGGCCAAGTCAAGAATACAAATAACGAATAAATGCTGGCCCGCTTGTGTAGCATGTGCCGTTCGTCGTTCAGTTCGGTCGAAATGTTTATAATAATATGCCGTTTGTCTTTCCGTTTTCCCCCAAACTAATTAGATCCGAAATTTTTTGGGAAATGCTGCTTTCAATGCAAATGTGGCGCTCTCTGTGGCTAGCGGCACTCTTCTGCGGATTAGCCCAGGCTAAAGGTAAGCCATTTCATTTCTAAGCCATAAATCTAAATTCAAATATAAGTCAAGATCTGGGAATGCAAGGCTATAAAGCTTGAGAAGCTGGAAGCTCCCGTGGAGCTGCATGATGTCATTCGCGTAATGAAACACAAAAAGTATTTATATTTTTTTCACTTTGCTAAAACTCGCTAAAGTGACCTCGTTTTCGGTCGTGGAGTACATACACATACAGTTTTGTGGCCATTTGGAGTGATGGCCGAGTATAACGATCTTCGGTTTGACGGGGGCGGGCGATAGCTTTTTGCCTTTTTTTTTGACAAAAAGAAAAAAAACGAAAGACTCAGGCAACGAACTCGACGCGAACTAATGAAGTTTGGTAGCGCGGCCCTGTCATGATTCACTCACTCGTTCTTCCTGCCTTATATGCATGCCATACAGTATATGCCATATAGTATATTCCCCGAAAGCCCTAGCACATTACTCATTAACTTGCCTGCCCCTGCAAGTTGCCTTACACAGGCAAGACAACAAACAACTAAACAAACTAACCAACGAGCGCGGCGAAAAAACAAAAGACCAAACAAGACACCTACACAAATACAACTGCTGGGAAAGGAACATGACACGCCAAAAAAAAAAAACAAAAAAAAGTAATAAAAAACAAAACACAGCCCAGGCAACAAGATAATATCGCGGAGAAAAATACTTAGACAACAAAAAAGAGGGGCAGCATTAAAATATAAACTCATAAAGCCCACATTCAACTGGTCAAGTATTGGCCGAGAGATTTTGCTTATTAAAAGGCAATCAGAAAGGAGAATTAACTGCAAAGAAGTATTACGCGAGAAAAATGAAGAAATAAAAGCGAAATACAGCCCCGAACTGGCGACATTCGGCGACTCGTGTAGGCGAACTGGTCCCTGGAATTAAGATGCAGCCTAAAAATACATCTCTTTTCTCTCTCGTTGGAGCCACAAACAAACAGACAGATAAATAAATAAATATGTATATATATAGAAAAGCTGCAGACGAGGCTATAATTTACGGGCAAGCCAAGCGAGACCGAGAGTCCGAGTCTCAGCTCTTCAGCTCCTAAACTCCTCAGCGTTCTTCGGCAGCCAAAGCTGAAAGCTAAATTATAACTTGCCAGCTTGCACAGCAGTCGAGAAGCAGTTGGGGGCTGAGGGGCGGCTGCTTAGGGGGCGTGGCTGGCTTAACTAAAGCGAAACTTTTGGCTGTCTGCATTAGGGAAAGTAAAAGTCTGACTCAGACCGAAAGAAAACCAAAGTGTTCAATAAATATTTGCACATTAATGAGTTCATTTCTTTGTTTTTTTTTTTCATGGAATTATAATCATTAAATCGTTAGTAAAATCACTAGTAACTATAATTTATTTGTTATCCATCTCCTTTTTTATGGTTTAATAATTAAACTGAAAGTAATTTGTTCGCTGACTTAATAAAACTAAATATGATTAAGGTAGAAAGTCTGTAACTGAAAGATAGATATTAATCACTTTGAGTGACAGATTTATATAGAACTCTATGGTTATTCACCTAAATTTTTAATTAAATTCGATTCGAAAGGTTTCGAATTGAAGGGGGTTATAAATTTGAATGTATTATTAAATGTTAGTTTATATTTTTTTTTATATATTTTTCCCAAGTTAAATTGCAAATGCAAATTGCCTATAAAAATCCGTATAGTACCAGAAGTGATTACAGATTTTCTTGGCCTCAGAATTCTGAGAATCTGCCACCGGATGATGTCATCGCCGGAGTGGAGAACTTCGCACTCGAGTGCACACACTGATGGAGCCGAGGGAGTGACCTTCCCATCCGATTAGCCAACCGGGCAGCCCTCCCATCCTCCACAAACTGACAAATCATCGAACTGCGATTAACTGGCTTAATTGTTGACTGACTGAATGGCCAGGGGATGGAGGGGATATTAACAAAAACAACCACACGCGACCTTGTGCAGCCGCCACATTAAGTCGAAGATCATTTAATTTATGGCCAGAACGAGCGTATGAACTCGCCATATAAATATAATAAATTGCTTAACCAGGAGGCTGTAAATCCTCACTCCTCCGCCATTTAAATAACATGCCAGCCAGCGATCGAGCGTTGTCGCATTAAGACAAAACATTGACATTGCATTGTAAGCAGGCGGAGGAGTCCGAGAGCCCAGTGTATGTAGTTTTGAACATGGAGGAACAATAATGATCAGCGGATCTGTGACAGCCGGCCTAAAAGGACAACCAAACGAAACGCTCGTAATAATAAAGAAATTGCCAAAGTCCGAGACTCGGACTCCATGGATGACCATGTCCAAGCTGCGCCACATTATGCCAGCGTGCTTATGGTTGGAGTCCGAAGTCGGAGTCGGGCTTTAACTCTCTGGGATGACCACGATGATGATGATGATGAAGCTGATGCCACACAAGGCAAAAAAACCGCTTCGACTTTGGCTTCGGACCCGGTCTCTTGACTTGACTTCGCTTTACATTTTTGCCTTATGTGTGCGAAAAATGCCAATTTTAGAGCAAGTCCAGCCGATCGGAGCTTGGAGCTTGGAGCTCGTAGTTCGGAGCTCCCCAATGTCTGTGTGTCTTGGCCTGGCCTGTCCCGTCCTGTCCTGGCCAACGACTGTGTGTGTGAAAAATTGCCCGTCTAGACAAGCGCAACAGGCCATAACAGCAACATTGGGAAGAACAAGAACAATCAAAGCCTTTTGCTAAGCTAATAAAATCGAGCCTCGATGCCTCGGATGCAGACTCGTGTCTGCTACATTGATGCTCCTGAACCTGAACCTCAAGCTGAAGCCGAATGTGAATCTAAATCTGAAACCCACCGCAACCTGTCCCTCAGCCACACCGAACTCTTAACCCATTAATGGCACTCAGTGTTGCTGTTGACCCAGAGACGTTTTGGCCCACAAGTCGGGGCCACTTGAATTTATCAACTCATGTGGTTTTTGAGTGGTTAACTTTGGAATGGGTTTAGCTAGCTAAGAGAAATGAATGAAGGAGATAAAGAAACTTCCCTGGAACTTAACTAAGGCACACTCTTTACATATATATCTCTTATTTTCTTATATTACTTACACGTAATCCTCTTGCTTAATCACAAATTCCTGCAAGGTTACCTGGGGTTAAGGTCGTCGGCTCTAACAATGCCTCCACAGCACTTGCCCCCTCACATAACATTGCCCGCTTTACGTAAGCTGGAAAATGAAAAAAAAGAAGAAAAAAGAACCCGGCCTAAACTCTGGGGCAAACGTGGCCAAGGAGGACAGGGATCTTCTGGGCAAGACCTTCGCGGCAACGGACAGATTAAAAGCTGGCGATAACAAAACGAGCAAATCGAATAGAGGCGGCTTGCTTTAAGGGCTCCGCCAAGAACCAAAGGATCAAACTGGGAGCAGCCTTTTTAAGTTGGTTAGTTGGGCTGGCCAGCACTTGGCCCTTTTCTTTGTATTCTTCTTGTTCTTGTTTTTGTTTTTGTTTGTGCCAACCCAGGCCGCCCAGGCATTTGTCATCAAGTGCTGGCCATCTCTTTGTTCGCCGGCGCATTTTATTGAATAATAATCCGATTGTCGGGCGATCGGACAAAGACAACTTCACTTGCATTGAGCTTCGGATTGGGGTTGGCTTGGGGATTCTCAGATGTATGTATTTTTTGGGTTTTTTGTTTTGGCATTAATTAGTTCAGAGGCTGTGACAGGGTACCGTTATCCACTGACCATTTTGGCAGCAAGTTGGTAGTTGGAAATCGCAGTTGCAGTAACAAGTAAAATCTGACAAAATCGAGCTGCGGCGATGGAGAGAGAGGCGGCCTAAAAGGCTTTCAACTTGCTGCTGCTGCTGCAACTTCGACCACCGTTTTGGCCACAATCAATTCGCGCACCGCTCCCCAAAGGCAATTT